CTATTACAACATTTTTACCTATTAATACTAAATGAAATGAAAACTGTGTTTAAATGTTTACTTTTTTAATGCACTAATTTATAGCATCACAAGAACCCATCGATGTAGGAACTGAACTGAATCATAATTCGATTTACTTATATAGCAAAACTCCCTCTTTCTCGGTAGGTAGTTGTCGAACGCTTCCGAGCCTTTCTAGAATGTTCTTAAACAAATACGTCATACTTCTCTGAAAGATTACGTCACTTCCGCCTTCGTTCTTTATCGCAGATGACTAACCTTATATGGGGCCTCAATGTCTATGGAACTTTCTAGACTGTTCGCAGTGTTACAAGAATTCTGTCAAAAGCTTTTTACGAGCGAACGCTAGAAAACGCCGGAATAAATAGTGGGTGCACCCAATTGTTAATAAAAGGCTGTTTAAAGAGCAATTTCCTAAAATTCACGAGGATTTGAGAAATCATCCTAAAAATTTTTTTCAATATTATCCGATGAGCAGGATTAGTTTTGATGAATTACTATCACATTATCGGACCAAAATAAGATATCAAAACACTAGAGCTAATTTCGATTATGATTTATGAGTAGCCACTCGGCGAAATGTATAATATGTGCGCCAGAGATACGGTCCTAGTAGCTAAAATTGCTACAAATCGCCAACGTTGGCAACACTGTAAAAGCACGATAAAAAAGTTGCAAGTGGGCGCAGGTTCATAATTGTCCCTACGATTCATTTAAATATGCGACAATTGTTGATATTTAATGTTGGTTTACATTTTGATTAATATAGCATCTCAGCAATTCGAAATGTTCGCTAAACAATAACACGACTATGATTGATCTCACAAGGGAAATACGGACCGGATGAACTTGTGGCACTTTTAATTTCTTAAGGTTTCATTTTTCAAAAAATCAATATGATACGTACGTAAGCCTTTTATACATTTCTTAAATTAATTAACTATCTGCACGTGTTGGACGAAACACCTTTTGTTAGACGTTTCCGTTTTTAGTAGTAATTTCGTCACAAATTTAGTGTCATACCCTAAAACTTTTATTTGAAATAACACTTTCACGAGTCCTGGCAAGCCTTTAAGTTATATTATACGAGAGTTTAGTCTGGGGGCTACTTTCTCCGGCAATAACTTTAACGTGTTAACCTAAATGATTCTGTTTATTTTTCATTAAGGTAGGTAGACAGTTTATATTTATTACTTACAATTACAAGATATTAACGTTTTCTCATTTAATTTCAATAAGTTGCGTTTCAAGACACTGATACAGCAGATAACGCCATGTTAATTAACTAAACAGAGTTCGCAAAAGCAAGATAAAGTAAACTTGATTTTGGATATTTACGAGCATTTTTGAATAATTAAAATCATTAAGCTTCGCGATGGATGTTCATCTGATGTTCATGTGAAGAAAAAATTTCAAAGATTAAAGGTAGGCGCACATAGACCGGCATCGGACGGACATTATTCTCGGATTTTTTAATAGGGTATCGCACATAAGTTATCGGAATCGCCGGAGGAATTCAGTTAGTTTGAAAATGTCTTCGAGCGATGAGGAAGTAGCCTTCGTGTTGGAAGAAGCATAAATTCAAAAAGCAAGACAACATACCTAAACGAGTGTGGGTTCACGACATATGCAGAAGAAGAAATGTTTTCGGGGAATATGCGCATTTATTTCAAGATTTAATGAAAGACGAAAAAAGTTTTTTAATTACTTTAGAATGAAGCGTGGTAAATTTCATTGTTTATTAGAATCTGTAAGAGACGCTATTACTGAAGGAAGGGGTGGGTTTCGCGTCTTGTTCACTAACAACTGAGCTGCAGAAAGAATAAATTAAACAAATATAGCAAACGAGCTCCTGGGTATGGCTATAGCATGTGCAAAACCAAATGTTAAACCTGATGTTAGTTTTGCTTTTATTTAAAGTGTATATGTATCAAATTTCATTTAATTGCTTCCATAAATAAGAAAATTGGCGCTACACATCCTACACAAAACCTAATTTGGAAAATGGCGCTACATTTGCTTTTATTTCAAGTGGCTATGTATCAAATTTCATTTGAATGCCTCCAGAAATAAGAAAGTTGGCACTGCGCATGCGCAAAACGAAATTTTGAAACGGGCGTTAAATTTGGTTTTATTACAAGAGGCTATGTATCAAATTTCATTAAAATTTTTTTCGAATTTTCAAAAACTAATTTCAGATTCGTATTTTCATGTTCAAAAACCCCCAGATACCAAATAAATTTCGTCGAAATCAGAATTTTTTTCGCTCCCCCAAGTAGGGGGCGCCCTTTCGTAGTAGGAATTTTGGAAAAAAATTTTCAAATTCGGATAGGGCATACCAGAAAACCTATTCAGACGTGCCACCCATCTTTGTAACTCTTATGGTTGCTGAGAAAAACATTAAAGAAGAAATTCAAATTTCACCACTTCTTTGGGGGTGACTCCCAAATGAAACATGTTGGACCCTCGGTTTATTTGAAAAAAGTGCTTGTCTTGATCCCCTCTTTTTAAATGCGGTCATGTAACACCCTGTATAAGCAAGGTTAAGATATGTGATATTACTAAATACCTCAATATTATCAATTTATCCATAACAATAACTATCATAAAGCACGTAAATAGCCCAGTCAGAATAGGAAAAATAGAGGAACTCATTCATGTATTATCAGTTCCTTCGGTATTGTGTAACGGACGTTTCCCTAATCAACTACGGCTACTACCGGCTGTGCTAAAGGGGGGGAGGGTAGTGAGAGCGGCTTTGAAGGTCCCATTTTATAGTTTTTTGCTTACAACGTGGAAAAGGTACGCTATAGCGAAAAATTTTGTACATAAAACTGAAAGCTTATTAAATTTGATATAACTTTGAGTGGTAACATAATTATAAAAAAACGCATCGTTTTTATGTTATTGACTATCCAAGGTTGAATATTTTCATATGTGGATTATACATATCACATATGACTAATACCTACATCATGATTTCCTTTGGTTTTGTCCCTCCAAGAAACCTCATCGTAGCTACTACATAAAGGAGAGGTAGTAATTCGCTGTCCGAAAAAGTGAATGTGTCGATGTTGTCTTCTTCATCGCCGTCCTCGAGGACCGGTGGGCCGTTAAAGTACGCACTTTCACATCCACAAGCTGAAGTGCAGTTGATGCCCGTCTTACGACACTCACACTTCGGGCCGCATCCAGTTCTAGTAGTTCAGCGGCAGACGATGGAACTTAGGACATTGGCCGGTGCTGGCGAGCCGCTAGTCTTGATGGGGTGGAGCATTCGATCCTCTCCTCTCACCCAACCCCACCGCTGTTGAGGGTAAATCCCGCTATGCGGATCGAGTTGGCTAGTACGGTCATGTGTATAATCCACATATTTAATTTTGGTGGGTCAAAAACTTAAAAACGGTGGGTTTTTTTAGAAAGTATATGGAATCAAAGTTGTAGCAAATTTAATGAACTTGTATTTATATGAAAAGAATGTCTTTCTAGGACGCACCGTTTTCGAATTGTAAGTAAAAAACTTAAAAATGTGATCATCAAAATCACGGTCTCCTCCCTCACCCCTCTAGCACCCGGTAGTCGGGGGGACTTTATTATATGTTGATCAGGGAACCTTCTTCTACACATTTCCGTAGGAATTAGTAATGCATGATTTAGTTCCCTTATTTGCCATTTTTTGATCTATTCTTACTGGACTAAAAGTCGTAAAACCATCAATAAAGTTTAAACCAAGTATGGCAGCTTACTTCCTACCGCAACGTCGGCGTCGTGGCGCTGTAATTTGCGACCGGTTTTCAATGTCAGTTTCCTGTAATATCTTAGACAAGGAAAGAGAGAAAAACATAGATTGTAGACCGGGATCAGGTGTTCTGGCAATTTTTCCTGGCGGGACTGGCGGGAGGTTTAGCATCCTTGCTGGATACCTAAATGTGTTACCCATAAAATGCATAAATGTTGGCAATCTGTTGTGTGTGTAGGTATATATGTATGTGCTAAACTAAATGATTGAGAATTACAAAAGAGTTTAAGTAGACTTGCCAATTACGTAATTATTAATTATCTAAAATGTTGCTCAGTAGAATTTGTTCATTTGAAATGAAACCCTTCAAAGTGAGTGGTGAGATTTTTTCACGTTGATTGAAGATATTTTCAGTTAGATTGGAACGAGGATTGGAACAAATACGCACATTTTACATATTCAAATGATACAAATCCAAACGTCAAAACTACGTTTATACAATTTGTACAATAGAAAATGCAACGACGCAGTATTACCTACTAAAATCCGCTGTATAAGAAACACTGCAGTACAATAAGTTTTACATCAACAAAAACGTAAGAAATTCGATGGCACGCAACATTTAATTAACTTTGATTAACTAAAACGTTTTTGGTAAATGAATTTTTGTGAAAGGGAAAATTATCTTTCTATGGCTGCTAATGAAAAGGGGCAGTACAATACACTCGAAAATAATACAGTAAAGCGGTAGGCCTAGCTTTCCAGGATGCTTTCCCGAAAAGATTTGTTCACGCCGCGCCGTCAATAATTTGTGCGGTGTGTGCTACTATCACCATTAATCGATTCGTCCCGTACTCTGTTCAAATAGTTCCAATTGCAACATAAAATAAAAAACTTGGTACCTAAAACCATAGAGGAAATACAATTAGGTACTCTATGCTAAAACTAAATATGGTTGGAAGAGACAGCACCTGTTGGAAGCTAAACGTACATTTTTATGTAGTAAAATGTGTATATAGGTATTACGCAAACTTGCAAAAGGTTTCCTAGTCTACAAACGCTATTGCTCAAATTGAGGTAGCGAATAATTTTTAATGGGTAGGTACTTGTGTTATAACGAAACTAACAGGATACAAGTAGATTGCTTTGACACTATTAGAGCACGAGGGTTATAAAGTGAGATTAAAATCGTCCTACCTGGTAGGTTTATGTACCTATTTACTTTAATTTAAAAGGATACATCCTCAAAGATCCGCATTTTGACCCGATAGCCAATAACTGCTGAACTGGATCGAACGCCATCGATGTAGGTTGAAATGGAAAGCCATGCCTAAATGTCTGAAACAATAAAATCTTATTAGCCCCTTTATATAATTTAAATCTCTCAAATGGCGTCGTTCGTGTTAATACAATTAACTAATCTCTATCAAACATCCAATATAATTACGCTAAACATAAATTGTGATTGTTATACCGTTTCTCTCTTCAATTTAAAATTTTATACATGAAGAGTAATTGCCTTATTGCAAATTCTACACGGCAGCTTTATGTGTGTTTGCACACGCTATATGGCGAATAATTAAACATTGCATATTGTAATTCATTTTTATTTCACTACATTTTCTAAGGTTATTTCAGTTACTTTTTAAATCAGAATTTTTCTTACATTTACATACAACTGTTTATTAAAAGCAAATTTCCGTAGCGAACAAATGCGAAGAATTCCAGTTAATTACAATGCCATTTAAAGAAATAAATCCTATTCCACAAGTAGCCTCCTAATTTAAAATTTAATCGTACTAAAACCAGCCAAGTTTGGCTTTTTTCGTGGCCATACGTATTATTATTCGGTTACTTTTTATCTGCATACAGCAAACTCGCTACAGTTAATTAAAAAAGTTTTAGAATTTTTGTTATATGTAATATGGATTTAACTACTACATCAACTTTCCACGCTCAAAAGATTTGAAACTTACACCGGTGCCGACGCGGCGCGGCGCTGGCGGTTAGTTTATTCGTGAAAATATACTATGCGATCAAAAATGAGTTGCTGTCGAGTCGCCTTTGAAATTGTTGTTTACATGGAAAATCGTATTTAACTTGAACTTGCAAAGGTGACTCGACAGCAACTCATTTTTGATCGCCCGTTATTAGAGTTCAAAACCAATACTAGGTACCTACTTACAGGAGACGTTTTTGAGAAAACAAGTTTTTTCTTTTTATTTGGATATAAACAATAGATTAATTTAGGAACATGCTGCTCTTAATGAAAGGTTAAAAGTTACCGACGTGTATTAAATGAAAATGATGAGATGTTCATTGGAGAAGATGTAGTACGAAATGAATGAAATCGGGACGAATTGCGTTTTTCATTTTCTACCTAGTCCAGTCAATTTATCCCGTGTCCTCGTAGAAAAACCTCCAAATTAAATTGCTGTCGATGAAAAAATAACGGAGTTAAAGTAGAAATGAACTGGCTAGGAGCTCGTTAAGAAACGTGTAAACAAATATAACAAACGAGCTCCTGGGTATGGCTATACCAGACGCAAAACCAAAATCTGAATCTAGTGTTAGACTTACTTTTATTCCAAGTGCATATGTGTCAAATTTTATTTAAATACCTTCATAAATAAAAAAGGTTGCAATTTGGTTCATAAATGGTCGAGATGCGAAAAGGACCCTATGAATGTTGACTTAACTGTCGGCATTGCTTTTTATGCAATTCGGTTCACAACTAACGGAGATGTCAAAAAGACCTTCCTTCTTTTTTGACATAGCCCATTCACGAACTCCGATCTACAAATTTGATAAAGAATCCACCTGCAAAATTTCATCGTAATCGGTCCATTCGTTTATGAGTTATCGTGCTAACGGACGGACGGACGGAGGGACAGACACCGCAAAATTATAAACTCGCTAGGAGCTCTTGTAGCACGCACAACTCCTTCGTGACGGAATTTTGTTTTTTCTCCGAGGGGCGAAATTAACCAGCTTTTGCAAGGCGCGCGTCTTCGTGACGTAGTCGACTTTGGGCGTCTAAAAGTTTCTAGACCTCGAATCGCGATTTCTCTTTCTCGTGTCGCCAGTAGAAGCTTGAGCTATAAGAAGTGCCCGAAAAATTGGGTACTATTTTGTGGAGGTTTTTTTAGCGAAATCCATTAAGGTGCCAATTGCAGGTGAACGGGACGTCTAAAGCAGGTACTTCAAAGGAACTGTGGTATCCCCCGTGTCCAACAAGATGTCACTGCGGTGGAGTCAAAACTTCAAAGGCAAATTGCGAGTGAACGGGACGTCGGAAGTGGGTACAAACACAAGGAATGTGATAGCCTTCGAAAACATCTTATTGACGGTGGAGTCAAAACTGGCTAATAGAGTACTGATCTTCCACACAAACATGCCCTCAAGTCCCTTCGATCTCACAGGAGAGCTTTAATAATTTTTTTCTATTTCGGTGTCACAATGATGATTTTGTACAACTGTTTACGGCCGAAAACAGTTGTACAAAGACAGTGATTATAGTCGTTTTTTTTGGTAACTCATCTCTTAAGTTGGCAGTTACTAGTTAGTACAAGTAGGTACTTCGTTGGGTACTTCCATGTTTGAACTTCAAAATGTCAGTCTTACTACGCTGCCAACCTAAAACTTAACGGCATAAAAAGTGTTCCCAACATAAAACATGTTAGTTCTAATGTTCCCTATAGTTTCTGATAATGATTTTTTTAATTAAATTAAAGCACCGAAATAGAAAAAATAGTATGAAAAACGCGTGTTACAATGCTTTATTGTAATACTCCTATCTTGCGGACACTCGTGGCTACGCTTCGCGTCGCCACTCGTGCCACAAGATAGTCGTATTACAATAGGTCGCATTGTAACACTTGCCTTTCAATATACTATTTTGAATAAATTCGACGTCCAAGTTGGCCATGATAAGCTCATTGTGAACACACAAACATTACCTTACAATAATTTGGAAATGTAGTAGCTCAGTTCGGGTAATCTTGGTGGGTTCACAATAATTCAATGTTGCAAAAATCAACATCGACGTGGAATTTAAAAAAAGAGCCGTTTATGTTTATCAGAAGCTGTTTAGTACTAAAGTTGAAACCTCCCAAGAAAAATAGATTGTTGTAAAACATTTCGAAATTTTATCCGTACCACCCAAATTATGGAAAAAATCGACTTTCTAGCTGCATACGGGGTGTTCCAAATAAAAGTAACTATACATGGATTTCGTGGGACGAAAAAACTATGTTAAAAAATTCGTGAATGTCGTTCGATTTTTAAATATTGTGTCTTTGAACAAAATTGAACAAATCAAGTAAATCCATTGGAGCACTGCAAACCTTTGTTTGTTAAAAGTAATATACTGACAATGCCTAGCTGTTACATTCTCGAGTTTACTCTTTGCACGCAGAAATGTTAATAGATGGATTACACATAGTCAAATTCATAAGTATGGAACCAGAAGTAATAACAACGTAACACTTCCACAGAGACGACTTGTAAAATCTCATAAAAGTTATGGCCTTGTTGCTGTTAAACTGTACAATAAGATGCCAGAAGGCATAAGAACTCTCCCTTATATTACATTTAAAAACAAGGTTAAAAAAATGTTAATGAAACATGCTTTTTATTCTGTCCAAGAATTTGAAAAGTTAGATCTAAAACTGTCTTAGTTAGCTTTTGTTTGTATATTTTTTTTTGTATTGACGTGATAAAAAAGACTTTGTATCTTTCATTATTGAATAAACATTATTATTATTATTAATTGAAGAAGCGTCGTCGTATACAAACGTTATAAAATTTACTAGTTGCGTCGCATATACAGGGTGTTATATAATTATGTATGTAAAACAAGTATACATTGTTATTTATTGTTTATCTTGTGCAGATAAAGCAGAAAGAAGGGCAGTAGTTGGTAGAGAACGGTTCCTTTCGTTGAGATCTTTAATTAGAATACAATTAGAGATAAAATCAATTTTAAGAGAGCTATCGAAAAAGTTTCAAATAAAAGTTGCAAGATTAAATGGGATAAATTCAATGGGTGTAGAAACAATTTTTTAAATGGCGGTTTTCGAGATATTAACATCAACTTCCTTATTTTAAATGGATACCATATTGGATTTTTATGTCATTCCATAGACAAAACAATTTCAAAATCAGCGATACTAAACACTTAGTATTGCATTTGGTAATCCACCTCGCATTTTTGCCTCGAACCACCATTTTGAAAAAAAAATTCTACGTCCATTGAATTTATCCCATCGAATCTTGCAACTTTTATTTCAAACTTTTTTCGATAGTTCTCTTTGTTGCTAAAATATTTGATTGTTTTAAAATGGCGATTTTCACTTTTTTTTTCAATTATTTACGAAACAATTTATTTTTGTCAAAATATCGCATCGGAATATCCATCAGCATCAAAAACTACACAACTTTGCCAATTTAACCGAATCTGTAAGTATAATAATAACATTGTATAATAATAACAAAGATAGCCATGCTATCCTACTCAATTTAAGACACCCTGTATACGCTCTAAAAAGCATTATGCGGGTCACTGTAATTGGGCGCATGCCTGTTGATGGCCCTGAACAAGAAAGGGACAATAAATAAATAAAATAAATAATAAATAAGGGATAGCAAAACCAAATTTTGAAAGTGGCGTTTGATTTGCTTTTATTCCATCCAAGTGTCTATGTGTCAAATTTCATTTAAATAGAAAGTTGCCACTGTGCATGGGCAAAACCAATTTTCAACACTAATATTATCATCGATAATAATACCAACATCGGAATCTTATAAAAATGATTAAACCTTTAAAAGTAACTACGTGATATCCTCGAAATCTTCCAACGGTGATATTTAGTTGTTTGAGAGTCTGCTACAAAATAATCGTAGGTAGATATAGGTACATTTACAGAAATAATTTCTCTCCAAGGAGAGAACATACTAGGAATGCAAAAGTTTTGTAATTGCCATTAGTAGCACAATGCAACAATTACCTTTTAGTTTCACAGTTTCAATTTGATATTTCATTAAAATTTGCTGCAACTTTTACAGTAAATTGACTTTATGTTCAAATTAGTAAGTACACTTTTCAAGAATTACATCAAACATCATCAGAAGCGCGAAACGAGAGCGCAGATCAAAGGATGCCTTAGGTACTTATTTATTATACACAAATAAGCAAACATAATGGTGTAATTTATGCACGTTTTCGATGAAAACAAAATAGTATCGAGTAAGATATCAAAATCAATACATGTACGATATTATTATTGATTAGGACCTAAGTAGACTAGTATCAACTATTAATTTTCAATGTAC